CAGTCTGTGTCCCTTCTAGAATTGACTGCAAAATTGTGAGTCTGGGCATTTGTCTGGAAAGAGGCTCTACAGTTCTCTTCACTACTCAAAAGAGCCTATAACTCTTAAATGAAGGGAAGCCAAGAAGCATCTCTAGCATCCTGCCTCACCAGCATACAAATTCACCCTGAATTTCAGTCATGAAATTTTTAAAAAAGAGCTCTGAAGTCTGAGTCAGGAGACACAGGTTCTAAGGGCACCCACCTTAGCTTCTTAAGTCATTTATCCTCCTAAATTCCCCCACTGGAAGATAAGATTAGACCAGACAGGCTTTGAGCTCTCTGCTAACCTAACAATCAATAGTGCCATGATGCATTTCCCCTCCTTCCTTCCAAGAAACCTAAGGGCATAGCGCTGGAAATTGCCCTTAAGGCACTTCATCTGAAGCCAAAAAGAGACCTCCAGAATCCTAGCTGCAAAGAGCACTTACTTGTAATATCGGCCACTGGAATACATGGTCCTTCTTCCAGGGTCAGTATTGAAGGCAGTGAACCAGGAGGAACTGAAGCCTGGCCATTCTCTAGCTGATTTGCAAACGGTGGTGCCAGTAAGTCACAGGGCAGAGCAGAGAACACGGAGGCTCACTGATGACCCTAAATCCTTTAGCTGACTGTGGCAACTACCTCGAGCTCCCTCTCGCTGTGTCTTTATATATGTGTGTGTACGTATGCCTGTGGTACTGGCAAACACACTAATTAGTTCATTTTATTTTTCTTGCTTCCTCATTGCTGCTAATGAGCAAAAAAAAGGGGGAGGATTAAAAAGATAAAGGCCCAAGAAGGAAAGGCAAAAGGAAAGTCAAAAGCTGACTTCCTGCTTAATTGGATCATCAGGTTTCAGAAAACGTTGCCAATCTTCTCGTGCCCCGTTTTAAGTCCATCTGAGCTTAACTAAGGGGTTGCAAAGCAAAAAGCCCCGAAGGCCACAGTAGTCCAGAAGGGGTTCCACCCATCGAAAAGAACCAGACCTAATGCAATTGCAAAGACACACATAAATGGAGGCATCCCAAGCTTGTCTCAGAATCATTTCAGAAAAGAGTGCAATGATTCACCAGAGCGACTGGAATGGCTAGTTAACAGACAGTCCATCAAAGATGTTTCAGTGTCGGGGAAATTTTCTTGAATACTCGTGATAAGCTGGTTGGCTACCGCTTGACATTTAGTTGGAAAGCATTAGCTGTTGATGTAACAGACATAATAGCGTATCTGCCAGGAGAGAAGGGGGGAAGGAAGGGGAAAAGAGAGAGACAAGGAGGGGAACCAGGGTAGGGGGAGAAACAATGTTTTCTGTGTAGGGTAGTATATGTGCCTTGAGCTGAACTGTGTCCCCAAAACTCAGCTGTTGAAGCCTTAATCCCCAGGACTTCAGAATGTGTCTGTACGGTATTTGGAGACAGGGCTTTCGAAGATGTGATTAAGTTAAAAGGAGGCCATTAGAGTGGGCGTTAATCCAATCTTATGGCTGTCCCTGTAAGATTCGGTGAGACAAGGAGCTACGTAGGGATTTGTGTGCACAGAGAGGTAACCGTGTGAAAAGGCAGCAAGAGGGTGGCCGTCTATAAGCCAAGGGGGGAGGCTTCCGAAGATATCAGCCTTACTGGCGGCTTGATCTTGGGAATAACAACGACACCCGTGCCTCATAAATTTAGGATAAGGATTAAATTGATTAATCCATGTAAAGCACTAGAACAGCACCTGGCACGCAGTCACAAGAACCGGCAGCTGATATTACTACTGCTGTTACTGCTAAAGGGCTCAGGAATCGTCTTTGCTGTACATACCTATACCATACTGACTGTATTAAAACAGCACCACAGCTTTCTAACTGACTTCAGGTATGTGACTGGGCCCTTTGGGGCCTTTGTTTTCATGTTTGTACAAAGGGAATCATAACTTCTGTTTGTGCTCAAAGGCTCTGCGAGAAGAAGGGTATTTGGTTTTCACCGGGTCAAAAGTCCCTTTAAGAAGAGAGCTGAAGGTGGCCTGTCTGGAGGAACCATATCCACCTCATGTGACAGCAGGGACTGTTTGGCCAGAGCTGTGGATTGGAAGCACTCAAATGCAGGATCACCGCCTCCATTAGCTCAGGGAAAAATTTTCTGATAAGCCTCCCTTTCCTGGGATCTGATAGAGCTGCTGAAAATTGAGCAAGCAGCCCTCTTCTCTGCATGACCTCCCAATCTTCTGAGACAGCAGGAACAAGGGGAACAGAAAGACGGGATAAGACAGAGCTGGATCTACTCCTCTGCCCTGGCACGTTACCTCCACAGGCAGGGAGGAATTTCCGCTCCACACAACTCTACAGCTTTGAACCAGCAAGGAAAAATGCTATTGTGTGTGAAATCAGCCGTTGGTTTTTTTTTTTTTTTTCCTTTTTAAGTGTGAGTTTTTCAATTTGGTTTCTTTGAATCGTTCTTTGGGATTATAACCTCTAGCTCTGAGAGCAAGGCAGAAGTTCTGATTCTACAGTTCACCAGGTGAAGTCAGGCAACTTAGATATGATGAGGGACGTAGAAGGGACAGCACCAGTACCCACGTGCACAGTGCATGCCTGCCAACCCCAGCTTACAGTAAACAACTGTGAACACACTAAACAAAATGCACCCTGCCTGTTAAGACAAGTGGCATGCTACCCGCCCTCCCCCACCTGGATGTTCCATTTATCAGGGGCTCAAATGGTCTGTGTACAAGGTGCTTTGTGCTCCTTGGAGGAAAACGGTCTAGTCTATATAAGCTACCTTGGAGAGTCCTGTTACAAATGTAGACTCTGATACAGTAGGTCTGGGATGGGGCCTGCAACTCCGCAAGCCTAACACAGCACCCATGGGACACTGGCCCTGGGACCCAGCATACATTGACTTTGGGGTACGAGTGTGCAAGACACTGATTCTCCAGGAGTGGTCTAGGGAGGCCTGCGTTGTCATCACTTGGAGGCTTGTTAGAAATGTTCATTTCCTGCCACTACCCAGCCCAGACTCTCTCAAACAGATCTTCTGGGGAGCGGGGTGGCTAGTAAGCCCCCCAGATGATTGCTATGGGCATTAATGTCAGAACCATTGCACTAAATCAGTGGCTCTCATCTCCAGCTCCCTCCCAGAATCTCCTGGGGAGGTTTTTAAAGCAGAAGACCCAGGCTTCAACACAGATCCTGAATTTAGACTCTCCAAGGGTGGGGGCAGGGATTCGATGTTGTTTGTTCACTAGTCTGTTTTAAATTTTATTTTTTAATTGACAAATTATATTTGCTTATGAGGCACAATGCGATGTGTATGTTTACATTGTGGAATGATTAAATCAAGCTAATTAGATGAGCCTGGAACATAGAGTTCAAAATCACTGCTTTAGATGAATGCTTTCACTTTTAATTTCTACTGATTGTACATCATGCATTTAGAAAAGTATGACTATCATTAAAGGTATACACAAACATTTGTGGGAAGGGAGCAAAGTGTAGCTGTGTTTTCAGGATTAAGAGGCTTAGGTTCCAGTCCTAACGCTGCCTTTAGAACTTTTATGACTCCCTGAATGTTAGTTTCTTCCTCCATAAAACAAGAGGCAATAATACTTGTCCTATGTATCTCACAAATCATTATGTGACGAGACTCTGAAAACTATAAAGTGCTATCCAGAAAGAAAGATTATTGGCAGGGTGCAGTGGCTCATGCCTGTAATTCTAGCACTCTTGGGAGGTCAAGGCAGATAGATTGCCTGAACTCAGGAGATGGAGACCAGCCTGAGCCAGAGCAAGACCCTGTCTCTAAAAATAGCTGGGCGTTGTGGCAGGCACCTGTAGTCCCAGCTACTCAGGAGGCTGAGGCTAGAGGATTGCTTGAGTCCAAGAGTTTGAGGTTGCTGTGAACTGTGACACCACAGCACTCTACCAAGTGCAACAGAGTGAGACGCGGTCTTAAAAAAAATTATCATGGGCCAAGCGTGGTGGCTTACACCTGTAATCCCAGCACTTGGGAGGCCAAGAGTGGTGGATTGCCTGAGTTCACAGGTTCAAGACCAGCCTGAGCCAGAGGGAGACCCCCATCTTTTAAAAATAAAAAATAAAAATAAATAAATAAATAAATAAATAAAATAAAACATAGCCAGGCATTGTGGCAGGCACCTGTAGTCTCAGCTACTTGGGAGGCTGAGGCAAGCGGATCACCTGCACCCAAGAGTTTGAGGTTGCTGTGAGCTAAGATGCCAGGGTACTCTACCAAGAGTGACCAAGTAGGTCTGTATCTCAAAAAAAAAAAAAAAATTATCATTTCTAGGTTTAAACCATGATCTTAATGTTTATGGAAAATTTAAATTATGGAAATAGAAAGCAGTAGTAATGATTTTACAGGTGATTTCTTTTTCTGAGCTTTCTAATGGAGTCTGCTAATCCCTCCCCAGCCCTACGTGTTGGGAGTCCAAGGACAGGTCCCTGCCACCCCAGCCTTGTGAATCCTACTTTTCTGTAAGCCAGCTTATCACTCAGCTCTCCACCAGGGTGGGATTCTCCCTGCTAGCCACTGGGGGTTGTGTGACCCAGACTAGCCCATGAGTTTGGGTGAACACAGAAGGCATTTACTTGTTGCCCAAGGGGAAACTTGGTGAAGAGACTTTGAGGCTCCCCAACAGATTATTCTAGACCAATGTGGCCGAGTCTACATGAGAGCCCCTTAGAATACCTGGAAGCTCCCTTCTTTCCACTAAACTTCTCCAGGAGTTTCTGGTGGCTTTTGTGCTCTGTCATATTTCTGATCTGAACACTTACTGCAGCTCCAGAGTTCCACAAAATACTCCCATCCCCATCAAGCTCCAATCATCAAAACTGGACTGCATCAGACCTCAACATTAACTATATAGATATTTTGAAAATTGCATAGGCATATGGGCTAAGAATGAGGCCAAGCCTGGATAATAAAGGTGCAAGTAAATACTGTTTTGTATGCTGCTGATACATTCCTAGAAGAGGCTACTTACCAGCCGAGTATTTACCACAGGAAACAGCAATGCCAGAAGAGCCCCATTCAGCATGTGCATCTGTAGCCTGGAAGGGGGAGAAGAGAGAGCTCAGGTCACACAATGACTCTCTTGCAGAGGTGGAAAAAGCCACATGCGATTACAAGCTGCTCTCTGTGGAAAACTCCACTAGAGTTTGCACATGCACAAAATAAATTAAAAGTGGCATATTTTGTATTAACTGAAATGTTCTGAAGAGCATCAACGCTGACTCAGAATCCCCCAAACACTTCCCGAACACACTTTGGCGACAATACTTTATTGCATAATGAGCTCTGTGCTCCCTAAACATCCGGTTAGCCCCAGTCAACAGCTTCAACTACAGCAGCTCGGGCGGCATGGGAAAAGGAACTGCAGTAGCTAAGCGCCTGTTATTATAGTAGAAGCCTACTCATTATAACATGGCTGCTTATTTACACAGCCTCGTCCAATCCTTTCCCCCAATCAGAGAACTGGCTGGAAAAAGCTAGTGCAACCCAGTGAACCAACAGCAGAGTCTTGCAAATTGTGTTTCCCCACTTTCTTAGAAATGCCTTCAGAAGTTGCTGTAGGGAGGCAGGGAGCTCAAAAGTGGCAGGCTATCTTTGATCTCGTTTACATATTGGGCTCTGCGACTCAAAAGCAAAACAAAAAAAAGAAAAGAATTAGAAGAAAACCACTGGTCTGAAGCATCAGGTAGTGATACTGTTTCCCAGTCCCAGACTTGTTAAAATCCATACACGCTAGAACCCCTTCTTAAGTTAAGGACAATTAACCCAGGAACAAACACTGCTTGTGAGGGCTCTGGGGATGGATTTAAGTAGCTTCCTTCATTATTCAAGGCAAATGGTTCTTTACTATTAAGGGATACACAAAGAATGACAGTCTATTCCTCTTGAAGAAAAGCTGATTTGATGTGTCACAGACGCATGAAAGACACCAAGTCAATGTCCCTCTTAGAAGTCAAGATGCTAGCTGGGGTTCATTCTCTCTCTCTCTCTCTCTCTCTCTCTCTCTCTCACGCACACACACACATACACACACACCAGTCCTATGATACCAAGATGTTTCCAAACCTCCTACACACTGACTAGCAGACTCTGCCTCAAAAAAAAAATTTATATATCTCCCAGGCATCCTGAATCAAAGACCAAAGTGGGTAAAAATATAGGGTATCTCAACCTATATATCTCACCATATATACCTACATAGAGAATATGGGCAACAGTAGCTAAATGTTATCTTTATTTACAAAATGTTCCTTACAAAATTTCATAAAATTATTCTCTATGTAGTGATATAGAATATAAAAATATTGAAAAAATGTAACACAATATCAGTTTGTTAATTTTTCTTATTTATGGAAAATAAATGCCTGTGGGATGCCCTGTGTATTCCAGGCAAGTATCTAACTGTTGTGCATGAACTTTCTTGCTTAATTTTTACAGAAGTTTTCTGAGATTGATACAATAACTTTTCCCATTTTGTTGATGACGAAACCAGGTTCAAGGAAGTGAGGTGATTTGGTCAATATATAAGACAGTACAGCCAGGATTCAAACCTAGCTTTATCTGATTCCAGGCAACACATTCTTCTATTCCTCTTGCTGCCTGTATCAAAGCCTCCCTCCTTTCCTCCTGCCAAAGTCCGACCTCAGGTGGAAAGTCAGGGTTGCTCTTTTCCCTTCCTTTTGGTTTCAGGGTTTCCTCTACTTCCCCTTCATTCCTTGCCCTGGACCTAATACGGTTTTAGGGATGACTGAAGTGGAGAAGGCTCTTTGGCTGTGCCAGGACATCATAGTCCTACAAGTTAATAGGACTTAGCTTGGTCCATAAAACGGAGGAGGAACAACTAGTAGAAGGTCACTCCTGCCTCCTGGGCTGGCCAGCCTACCTGGCTTTGTCAGCAGGGTCATTCAATGAAGTACTCCGGCTCAGAGAGACAGAGTACTGTGGTGCAAGCTTCAGTGCCTAGAGCAAGAGCCATTAATAGTCATTCTAGGCCTGGAGTGTAGTACAGTCTGGCTTAGCCCTGCCTCTGAGCCCTCCTATGTGACAGCTACAACACGAAGGTTCACCCTGGGAGAGGAAATATCACATTAATATTCCAGGCACGCTCGGCGCCTGTGGCTCAAGTGGCTAAGGCGCCAGCCACATACACCTAAGGTGGTGGATTCGAATCCAGCCCGGGCCTGCCAAAC